ACAGTTGACAGGCTCTGCTTGAAGACCTCCAGCGTGGGAGAGCCCACCGACCCCTTGGGTAATTAGTTCCCTTGCCAAACTGCTTGTCCTTTCCCTTTACTTTTCAGTCAAATTCTACCCCTCTCTAACTTAAGCCCACTGGATCTACTCCTGCCCTCTGAAGCAACAGAGAACAAGCCTCTGCTCTCTTCTTTGTGATAGCCCTTCATGTACAGTGTTATCATGTTACTAGCCTCTGGAAACAATAAATAGACTTCAGTTGGCAGAGCATTCTTTGGGGAAGGCACCACTCAGAGAAAGCTCTGCCCCTGGGAGTGTTGAGGAATCCAAGGTGGAGTCGCCAGTGATGAGGAGAGAGTTTTTGCACTGAAAGGGTTTGCTTTGTAGCCTTGTAAACCCCCCACTCCTTCCACACTTATTTACTCTTCCTCTAATCAGCTCAGGGCAATGTGGCATATCTTCCTATTTTTATCTTACCCCTTTTATCCTCCCAACAACTCTGTATGCTTAGGCCGCTTCAAACCATTTATTTAAGTGGTGTACAGTAAAATCGATCCCAAGCAAAGATTCCCCAGCTGCGAAGGCAGGGGTTGAGGCAGCCTCTCGCATAGGTAGGTTAAGCTGAGAGGGAGAGAGAGAGACCAGCTTGTTGAGAGCCACTCGCTTTTCATAGGGGCTGAACAGAGCTTTGAACCCAAGTCTTGCCAGGCTCCAAACCAGGAAGATTTATCCTTCACAATTTGTGTCTCTGCTTAGTTATTCACTCGTCTGGAAGGTTGTTCTGAAAAGTTTATAATCTTCAGAAGATCTCTCTCAGGACTGCCTTGGAAGAAATTGCAGGGGTTAAGAACGAAAAGCTCCGTTTTCCCTTGTGGTCACAGCAAATTAAACAGGGACAGCAAAATATCACAGGAGGACAGAAGGGAGCATCACTCATTTCTAATATTCAGGCTGCCTCTTACAGCCTCTTTCTTGGGTGAATAACATTCTCACTGTTCTCTGGCATTCTTCCCACTTCTGCCCCAATTACAATAATTCTCTTGGGTATCAGCCATGTGTGTGAGGGGGGGGGGGATATCTTGGAGCCCTTTTTAATGGGCTGGCATACTGTCTTATTTTGCCTGTCATTCCAAACCAAGTATTCCTTCCCATAGGAATGGATCCAGTTTCAGTGTGCTGGCACGATAAGGCCGAAAACAGTAACTGAAGTATTGTCACAATTAATAAATCAGTTTGTTAACAGCAAATAAAATTTGGACAAGTTACATAAACAATATCAACATAAGGCTCTCCCCCCCCTTTTACATAATGGTCTGCATTCTGGGCAGTAGCTGGTAATCTATTGTGAGAAAATATGTAATCACTAGGAATAAGGAGTTTTCCCCTCCAACCCTTCAGGTAGCAGAGAGATGGGGAACCTTAAGGCCAAAATGCAATCCCCAGGCTTATCTGTCTGAGCCTCTCCAAGACACAAGCCCTCACCAGCCACACCTGTTTGCCCAGGCCATCTTTCACCATTCCTACTTTGCATGATCATTGAGTGTTTCTGCCTGGCTAGAATGTGCCCTTGGTCTCTGATATATATTTTTTTTGGGGGGGAATATTGTCACTTTCCCCATTTAGTATAAATCTGCACCAGGGACTAGCTTCTGTTCAGTTCATGTTGGGACTGCAGGTGTCAGGTGTGCTGGTGGAACATGCCTGAGGTTTAGAAGACCCCGCTGTCTAAAAGCCTGCTATCAACCCAGGCTCCCAACGTAGGTGGGAAAGTTTATTGCATGCAGGATTTACCAACCCAAACAAACATTTGGGCATTGATGTAACCTTGAATCCATTGTTTTATATAACTTCTCCATGGTGAGGTATCTTCCTGATACACATATTACATACTGTGCTTCTATCCGTAGTACTGTGAATCTCCCATCAAACAACCTGCTGAACTGAGACATTAGGTTGGTGTGCACCCACTGTGTAGGCAGCATTTTAAATAGCTCCCCTCGTTGGTTACTTCTGTGTACACCACTCTGTGGTACATGATTCTGCAGGGAATCATTTAAAACAGCATTGATGTGCATTGATCCTTGCAGTTCTCTGCAGCATGCACATCTGGCTTTACCAACTCATTTGCACATGTGGGTGGGGCAGGGTGTTTGCATGAAAAAGAGGGCTTTTAGTGCCAGAGGCAGAAAAACCAAATGATAGCCCCATATATAAAACACAAACAGTGTTTTATAGTGTTGTAAACAAAAACCTGCCTTTTCCCCCTTATGGGGTATCCAAGAGCCCATACAGAGATAATAAACGCTAAACTATTTGCTACGCTTTAATCAGTCACCTGCTGCCTTATTGCTTAAGGTTGGCATCATCATGTGAACCAATTTTGTTTTCTGTGATGGGGTAATTTTATGTTTTTGCAGAGGAGAGGAACTATTTCACACATCCTCCCCCTATGATAATGAAGTAGTGATGTCACCTGTGCATGTTGCAATGAGTATTGTTGTCCCATTTCCTCATGGTAGCTGTGTTGGCCAGGCTGGTGCCATGATTTCACCAGTCTGATTTTCAATTGCATTAATCCAATATATAGGTGTGGGGGGGGGATAGATTCCTTTATAATTTCCAATGGACACTGGAAGCTAGAAATTTGTTCCTATTCAACTAGGTGAACATGAGCACTGTGTCAAGGATCCTGCACCAGTACAATTCCACGTGCCCCTGAGTATGGATGATGCCAGACAAACTCATGACAATTGCATATCATGTTGCAGATATAACAAACCTGGAGTGAACTGCAGGTGGCCATTAAAGTGTGATAAAATAGCTAGCATAAAAATTGTCTTTGCCACCACTTGGCTCCCTCAAACTAGTTTTTCTGGAGTTGTCTACTAGACCTTGAGAAAGCTGCTGCCAGTTGCTGGCTGCTAGATAGGTCAGTGGTCCGACTCAGTGTCATAGGATGTGTCCAAGTTTCAGACGTTGCTCACTTTGCGGAGCTTCCTTCATGCTTCTTAAAAACCTGTGAGAGAATGTGAGGAATAGCATTTGATTGTCTTTTGGTGGTGATGCATAATGTGGCTTGGTTTTGAGGTTATATATACAGTAATCCTTCCTATACCTTCCCAGGACGTGGGGAAGATTTTTCCTTTTGTTTAGAAAGTTAACTCCGTGACAGGGGAGTCAGTAAAATCCAGAAACCTATGGAGGAAGAAACATTAGGTTGGCACTTGACTGGAGAGTACAGTTTTATCCGTTCCCAGGCATTTTGGAGAGTTAGACTAACTATTTCCCACCCGCTGCCTCCTTGCCAGTGGCAGTCTCTGTGTAATTCTGCAAGATAAAGACATTCCAAGCCACCTGGACATTCCAGGAGTGCTTTGGGGCTTAGTCATTTTAGCACAGAAAAGAAGAATGCAGGCCTGGGGATTGGGATGGGGGGCGGGGAGTAGTCCTGCCTGCATTCTTCACCCTCTGACCTCCTTTGCCCCTGGATATATTGCATTTGCAGTGCTATGTCCTGTGTGGGATGCAGATAGAGACTGCTTGGAAACTCAGATTTCTTACCTGACACTACTGGGCCCAGAACATATTTGGTGTATTAAATTCCTGTGTGGGTATTGCACTTATTCTGCTTTCCTAAATCCACAACAAGCCATTCAGAATTCAGCACTTCTGCAGTTTGGCATGACTTAGTTTCTTCTAGGAGAGACAGCAGCTTTACATAATTTGGTAGAGTGATGGAGTGTGGCTTTGAACATCCTCTCAATCAAGTCTTGCTAGCTACAATTTCTGTAAGAGCCTGAGCTCGCTGCTTCTGAAGTCACTGGGTTGTAGCCATTGCTCAGAACAGATATGACTTACTTAGGTCCATTGATTTCTATACTTGCTTACTGCAAGTATAATGTAGTTGGATAAAAGCCAGCATGATATGAACATGTGTGCCCAGCGAATCCTAGGCTGCAAGTAGAATTGCAAAGTAAGATACATTTCCTTACATCATGTTTTACTCGGTTCTGATCTCTTCTATATCCTTTTCCAATAAGCAGTTGGTTAATAGACATAATGGCCCCAATCTTACAACCATGGTTAAAAAATTTGGAGCAGGCTGTAGAATTGTGCATTGACTCCACCCCTTCTTGTGAAATAAGAAAATTATTAATTCCCTATAAAGTGGTCTCAGCCTCGTAGGGAGGACCGAACCCTTGGAAGACACATACCTTAATGTTAGTTAATGTTGCTGTTGATATTTTAGGTAGGAGGGGTGCAATTTGCCTGTGGTGAGGGGAGCGCAGGAGATCACAAGTGGCTTCTGATCTCCAAACTGTTGAGAGAGCAGCCCATTATGCCTGTGCTAAACCCGTGGGCATAGCCAGGATTTATGTTGGATGGGAAGGGGGAAGCAGAATCAATGTGGGGGGGGGGGACGCAGAACCAAGCTATCTGCAACACAATTGGTCAGTTAGTTAAGTATTTTTATTTATTTATTTGATTGGGGAGCAGCTGCCTCCCCCCCCCCTTGGCTATGCCCATGTCTAAAGCTATTGAGAGCGACTAAAGCTAAGTTTGCTAAATGTGTGTTTCACATTTCTTTGCCTTTACATTTCTGCTTGATGGAGGAGTTCTGTGCAACTCAGAAGGTTGCATAATCCTCAGACTACATTGCCTTACCTATACTGCATAGTTTAGCTTATCCAACCAAGTAGCCTTTTGTCTACCGACTTCAGATGCAGCATGTTTGTGTCCTTTTCTAGGATATAGTTTCTCCTTCATTTCTTATTCTCTCCCACCACCACTCCTGGGCTGCATGTATGTACTCTAATGTTATGTTCCTAGTATTGCTTTATGCTCTTGTGCGTTTTTTTTAAAAAAAACTTTTGCTTTTGAGCTATGTGTTCCCTTTTTATTATCACAATTTTTCTTTTTTTGTTTTGTTTTGTGTTTTGTGTGCCTATTTCCTCCCCATTCCCAACCCTGCTTTCTTGGACTTCCAATGCTTCATGCAGCAGCCAGATTTGGTTCAGATTCAAATGGCTCCAAAGGTATTTTCAATGGGTACTTGACATGCCTTTTTAAGTAAGGAAATTCCTTATTTAAAAGGATCTTGTGTTATTTGTCATTTAACCAAACTAATAAGGTGCCAGCTGTGGAATCTCAGATAATGACACAGTTCAGTTGCTATGGAGACCACCTTATTTGCTTGAGTTATCCTCATTACCGGCACTCCAGTCATGGGTTGAAGAGCTCGCTGCAAAGAAATCCTGCATTGTTTGATTGGAATATATCACATAAATCATGCAAAACTGTTTTTGTTGGGTGAATAGGTTTTTATTTAATCAACATCCTCTTCTTTTTGTCTAAGCCAGGATGGCCAATCCATGTTCTGCAAGCTAGGGATGGGCACTTCTGTCTATTTTGGTCTGTGTCCCTTTTTGCATGGTTTCCACCTGTAATTCCATTCTGATTCATTTCCACATTAATTTGATTTTTAATTTATTTTTTTTTAAATCCTCTCAATATTTATTTAAGTATGCATTTTAATACATATGTAAATGTATTTTTAAAGAATATAGATATTTAAAAGTGTATTTTGAGACATGTACATGTCCAAGAACAGTGTTGCAACTTTTGGAGAAGTGCAAAATACAACGAATAGCAAAATTCCAACCTGCAGATTGACCCCAAGTTATTTGTGCAGGAATTCGCAAAGGCTGAATTCCTCAAGCATCTCTAGTGCAAATCAGATTTGGCTCCCAGCAGCCCTACCAAATTTGAATCAATGTATGCTTAAGCCACCTTGGCAGAATTTTTATTCAGAAAGGTGGGATATAAATGCCTTAACATAAATAACATAAATAATAACAACATTTCATAAACTGTATGTATTTTCTATACATTTAATGTTGCTTCTCTTATATCTTCTGGAAAAGCAAAGGGATTACCTACTGATTAGCTTCGAGGGGAGGGACAAGATTGTTCAGGAAGTACCTTCATGTATGTACACACACGCGCACACACACACACACACACACACACACACACAACTGTTGGTTACCACCAACTTCTTTGTTGAGTTTCAACATCCACGAATGGGTTGCAGAATTCTGACCCACAAGGAAACATAGTATACCACAAGTATACAGTTTGACAAACCCTAGTCTAAGCAGTGGGGTCAAGAGGAGCTGGATTGGAATCAACGGGGAAGTCTTGGGATGCCAGTGAGTTGTGAAGGTAATTTGACCTATTTTGTCTTCATTGATATATTTCTTTGTTTTGTGTTTTGCAGGGAAGGAGATTGGTGGCTGGCTCACTCGCTCACAACTGGCCAGAAAGGCTACATCCCCAGTAACTATGTTGCACCCTCAGACTCCATCCAGGCTGAAGAGTAATTGAAATATTTTAGATAGTTTTGATAAACAGTGCAATGCTTCTGCCCAGGCCTTCTAGCTTCTAACCCAAGCCTTCTAGCCATAACGGTCAGGGGCACCCCTCATTTCCCCAGATAATTCCTGACTTTGTGTCAGTAGGATAGTTCACACCTGTATTTATCCTTTAGTTGCTGTGTGGAAGAGTGGTCTCAGACTGAACACTGTATCTAGAATTCTCGTATCACTTTGGACACAATGCTCTGAGGTTGAATCAGTTCACTCATACAGCTTTCAGTGGTCAAGAGTGGAGTAACTGAGTGATGTGTATGGCTAACTTGCTGGCTTTTAAGATATGATTAGTCTTGCCTTCCTATTAGATGTTCAGCGCCATTTTTGAAAAACACTGTGGGGAAAAACACACTAGCGAATACCACAATATCTCAAAAAAATAATGTCAATAATTGTATTAATCACATGCATCTCTCAGAGAGAGACCTAACCATTCGTGAACTGTTTACTATGTGTTTCTCACTCCCTACACCTGGCTTGGGGAACTTCTGGCCTTCAAGATGTTGTTTGACTACAACTCCCATCATCCCTCACCATTGACCATGCTGGCTGAGGATAATGGGAGCTAGAGTCCAACCACCTCTAGAGGGTGACAGGTCCCCTAGCCCTGCCCTCAGTGAACCTTTCATACCACCCAGTTCTGTTTATGATGTACAGTTCCTAATGTCCTGCATGTACCTACTGAAGCTATTCAGTTTATTTATTACTGAAGTTTGCTTTCCAACTAAGTCACTTTTGGATAGTGCACTACTGGATATTTCCACCTCACTAGCAGGTACTAAATTTTTGAACTTCTGGGCAGTTTTGACAGAAATGTTTATGACCATAAAAATATATATGAGCTTGCTCAATGGTTTGTTACCTATACATGGAGGTTACCATTTGATCATTAGAGTGGAATAAGCGTTTATGTATGAGTGCTACCATGACATTGGTGTGCTTCTTAGAATGGGTTCAGAATCTTCAACATTTTTGCACACTGTCCAGGAAAATTTCACAGGATTTTGAAACACCTCCCGACTTTGTGGCCTGTTTCTCCAATCCTCGGATGACATTTTGGTGAAGTGTCTGCTTGGAACAGGTTTTGTTTTTCACATTGCAGCTTTTGTGGCAAGGAGAATCTAGGAAACTGTGGTGACGAACCCCCGACTTTCCAGTGATCTAACTTAATATCTGTAGATGGAATAAAAGTCTGTAAATGAGAACTCCTTCATACAAAATGCTTCCCCCCCCCCCACTGATAACACCCCTGTGTAAGAAACAGTGTGTACAAAAGGAGCTGCAGATGATCAGGCCCTTCTTAGAGAAACACTGTAGAATGAGTATTCAACACTTCTGAGGCCTGGTCTGGCCCATAGATGCCTCTCACAGGACCATGGATCAGGACAATATTTTCCTGGCATGAAAACACATGAGCTTCCTTCAGCCTTGGCGTTCACATATTTATCAGGCTTTAAGGAGTTAAGAATCTAGCAGCCCTTGGCAAAATTTAGTGCATTTCAGAATGTCGTCTTTTATCCTAGGATAAGTGATTTATGTAAGAACGTAAAAAGAGCTCTGCTGGATCAGAACAAATGTCCATCTATTTTAGTATTGGTTTTTTGGAAGAGGCTAGTCAGAGGCTTCTGGGAAACCCACAAGCAGTGTGTGGAGTGTTCCTATCCAGTGCCTTCCTCCAGAAAACTGCAATCTTATTCTCCCACAACCTGCGTTTTCCAGTTTTTTCCCCAACAGTCAGTCAGCATTTTATATTGACTGTACTTAATCCTTATTTGTACATTTTTTGGTTCCCCCATTTAGTTTCTCCCCCCGCTCCCAATGATATGTTACTTCTACAAACCTTCCCTACCAATACCTCTTTTGTTTGTGGGCAGTGCTATTTTGGTAACATAAGCAATGACATTCATACTTGAACATTGGAAATAGGAATTGTAGCCTTTATACTCCATGAATTTGTCTAAAATCCTCTTTTAAAGCCAAGTGAGTCAGTGGTTTTCATCATATCTTATGACAGTGATTTTTCACATATGGGTTATGCATTGTTGCACTTTTTTTTTTTGTCTATCCTGAACCTACTAATTAATTTCAGAGTTGCAAGGTATTCCTGGGGAGGTCATAATTATTCTTATATTTTATAGAGCCCTACTTTCAAGCTCTTGACCCAAAGTATGAGGGCTTAGCACTTCAGTTCGAACATTCAGAAGAAAAGTGTGTAGTGTTGCTTCCTGTTGGTCAAAAACCCTTGGCCCAGGCACTTGCCATGTAGAAGCCGTGCGCTAATAAGAAGATTGATCCTTCAGTATTTAAAAAAGTTAACAGTGACTGGAAGAACTTGGCAAAATGGGATCTCTCCCATGCTCATGTGTATTCCACTATTGTAGGTGGTATTTTGGCAAGATAACCCGCCGAGAGTCAGAACGGTTACTACTCAATCCAGAGAATCCCCGGGGGACATTCTTGGCAAGAGAAAGTGAGACAACAAAAGGTAATGGCAATTTATTAAGAAAGTTAACATCTCTCGAAAAAGCAGTTTCTATGAGAACAAGCTGGTGTTCAGAGCTCACTTCCCTTGCATCCGGGACAGTATAGGGTTTTCTATGTTCTTAAAAGACCGCTTCCTAAACTTCTGACAGCCGAAGTGCATTCTTTCTTTCCGAATTTAAATTGGGAAGTAAAGCCCAAAAGACTTACTTTAGCAGGTGTAAGAATTAGGTGGCCTCAGATGATCAATGAAGTGTGTTTCTGGGCGAGTCGCCATTCTGGGTGTGCGTCTTGACTCAATCAGAGATGCACTAAAGAACTGCTTCCAAGTGCAGGTATTTCTGCTGCAAAGGGAGGGTGAGGAGAGGCCTACAGACACAAGGATATGGACGGCCTTGGGCTGCTGAAACTACTTGGGGAAAGTTCAGAGTGCTAGTATGAACTTGCCCCAGCTGGGCTCTTATCTTGAGATACTTAACTATGATAATAACAAGCAATAATAATTGGTGAGTAACGCTGGCAGTTCAACATTATAGCTGCCACAAATGTGCATGGACTCACTTTTAATTATGGATTGGAAGTTTACAGCATTGGGAGTTTTCAATTCCGGAGCCCTAGAGCTTGTACAGTCCCCTGGTCCTTTTTCGTTCTGGCCCAAGACTCTTAATATCAGGTATCTTAACCCAAGAGTGTGTGTTATAGCTATGTCCATGTTCCCCTCCTCACCCTCACCCTCTCTCCTTGTATGCTATCCATAGTCTGTTCTATCAGCCAAGCAGTACTCTCTCTGACTCCTGCCCTGTTCTGATTTGATTGGTGGAGAACTGGATGGGATTTAAATATCTAACGTAAACAGAGATTCTGGTCCTGTGCCTGTCCTCTTTACAAAGGAAGGGTGCTGAAACTGGGTCACTGAGCTGGGAATAGCTGGGTAACCAATGGCAACAAGGAACTCTGCAGTTCCCTCCTATCCTTGCTGCCAGGGGCAGTTTGTTGTTGCGTTTATAGGAGCGGTTTAATGAAGTTTGTGCTTGGGTGTGAGTGGCATTGTAGGAACCAGTTGGTGGTAGCAGCACACGCGTGCCAGAAATAAAAGCCATGCGAGCAGAGTTTAGCTGTGGATGTCCTTTGCCCTGCTCTTCCCATTTCTGTCCTATGTGACTGGCATGTCAAGATGGGCATAAGCACATGGAGGGATCAAGCATCATTGCTGTGAACAGGTCAGATATTTATTAGAGTGAGGAGAGAGGCACTGGAGATATAGTAGGTGTGGTTACTTCAGCAGTGACAGAATGTCTGCCAGCCACATTCTGTTCAATATATTCAACTCAAGATTTCTCTGCTCTTCTCTGAAATTATCTCCAATGCCATATATACAAAATCCTTGTGTGCGATCAGCCCAGGAAACTAACTGCTAGTTCTCATGGATGTGAGAATAGATTTGAGAACGGGCAAGCAGTGCCTCTTCAGTTGTGTAAGCTGGAGAAATAAGATTTTCAGGTGTTGGAGGAAGGCCTTGGTGCTGTGCATGATCCCTAGCTCCTCCTCATGACTAGTAGAAGCATAAAAACCTAAACAAAATAAGGAAAAGCATGCTTCATTTGAATAATTCATGCAGGTTGCAGAGTTCAGCTTTTTCTCACTTCAGAATCTGGGTATCTGGTGCTGTTGCCAATTATCTCTGCATAGAAAGTTTTGCTCATGCAACCTCTGTAACCTGGTGGTTTATTATGTTGTAGATGTTTTTGCCTGTAACTAAAGTTGGGAGCTGAAATACAAATAATGTGTGATGTGCGAGACACTCTGTGGCTAGCCACAGAGCAGAAGGAATGGAATGGTGGTGATTCCATTGAGGACAAAAGCAGCAGCCAATGTGGCCAGGATGTCTTTGGTACCTAGCTAGGTATTTGTCTTCCTAACAGGGATCACTCTCTAAGGAAATTCATTTGCACAACAGAAGCTTCAGTTTCTTTTCTCCCTCCCCCCAGCCTCCAGAGGGGGTTCCCATCTGCTCTGGAGGGCCCCCCCCAACCCTCTGGACCAGATGTTAGGAGCATACTAGAAGCCAAAGGAGTGGAAGAGTTAATATCGTAATCCTATGCTTTACTAATGGCCTTAAACTTTACAGAACATTGATATCCCATTCAGGTACTAAATAGTTCGTTCACATTATTAATTGCAGTCAATGTGTTGCGGGTAACACACAAGAAATTGAGGACTGAGCTCTTTTTAAAAGCCAGTTTCAAAAATGCTGCTGTCCTGTGTTTTGAAAACCTTTGCCCAATAATCCTAGCTCCCACAGAACTTGTGTCAGCTTTTGGGTGTTAATGCAACAGCAGTTTCCCCATATAATTGGTGCATAGCATTAGCAATACAGGAAGAAAGCACAGTTCCCTATAGATTTGCTGCCAGTACCTATTTCCCTCCCCTTGAGGTGCTGCAGCAAAGGTCTCTGAGCTTTACGTTAACCCTGCACAAATTAGCTGCTGAAGTTTGACAGGATCAGAGTGGAGGCTGAGCCAGCTGGAGGCCATAATTAGACAGACCTGGCCTTGCCAGCTGCTTTTGTTCTTCAAAGGTATCTACTCTGCATCCTGCCCCCCTCCCTTCGTGTGAATTCTGCTGTGAAGTTACTAACCTGCTGACGGCAGCACCGGCTCCCTTTCATGGACATGTCATGATGACATGTGAGAGGCTTCCTTGAAAACCTGTGTGTTCAACATTTCCCCCATCCTAAAGCGCCACAAGGAAATGATGAATAGATAAGGTTTTTAATATATTAGTTTTCCTATACTGTACTTTGTTCTCATTTTTTACAAGGTGGACCATATCGCATCCGTGCTGGCTGAACAGGGTATATGCATATGCTACATAGGAACATGGGAAGCTGCTTTTATTGAGCCGGACGATAGGTCCATCTAGCTGAGTACTGTCAATGTTGATAGACAACGTACTTCTAGAATCTCAGGCGGGTCTCTCCCAGACCTACCTGGTGATGCCAGAGTTTGAGTCTGGGACCTTTGGTTTGCAAAGAAGACATCTGAAGGCAGCCCTGTTTAGGGAAGTTTTTAATGACTGATGTCTTAATGTATTTTTAATCTTTTTGTTGGAAGCTGCCCAGAGTGGCTGGAGAAACCTAGCCAGATGGGCAGGGTATTATTATTATTATTATTATTATTATTATTATTTATTATGGGACTTAATAATAATCAGGGAATTAATTTATTATTATTATTATTAATAACAATAATAATAATCAGGGACTCTACCACTGAGCTACAGTCCTTCACTTCTTCTTTGTTCCTTGGGCATCTAAACCAGGGTTTTCCAAACTTGGGTCTCTAACTGTTTTTGGACTACAACTCCCATCATCTCTGACCACTGGTCCTGCTAGCTAGGGATGATGGGAGTTGTCATCCAAAAACAAGTGGAGGCATTGATGTTTGGGAAACATTGATATAAACTTCTGCAGCACTGTTAATATTTTATTCTAACCTTTGAAATAATGAATGACGCTATCCTCTTGGTAGTCAGTTCTGCTAAGCAGTGGCTGCAAAGTATCTCTTAAACCCAATACTGAGCTGTGTCCGCTTTTTCTTGGTAGGTGCCTACTGCCTCTCTGTCTCAGATTTTGACAATGCCAAGGGACTCAACGTGAAGCATTACAAGATCCGCAAGCTGGACAACGGTGGCTTCTACATCACTTCCCGCACACAGTTCAGCAGCCTTCAGCAACTGGTGGCCTATTACTCCAGTAAGTGCCATTTCGGCTTCTGATAATGCAGGATTTCTTTGCAGAATACAGAGGCTCTGTCTAAGGTACCTTGAACTAAAATGCAAAAGTGAACATGCTTGGACAGCATCTTATGGGCATCATATGTACTTACAGAGATTGCCACCCACTACCATAAAACAGCATATTGGCTCCTTATATTGGCTCCCTGTATATTATTCCATGATAATTAAGCCGACTGATCCATCATGATCTTGAGCATCAGTGTGTCTGGCTTGTAACCAGAAGGTTGGTGGTTCGAGCCCACCCAGGGACGGCTGTGGGCAGAATTTCTTGCATTGCAGGGGGTTGGTCTAGATGACCCTGAGGACCCTTCCAGCTCTAGAGTTCTATGATTTCATGAAATCCAAAGGTTGCAGTGGTATTATAGTCAAGCTGCCACTACACCACAAAGCCGCAAATCTCAGTTTGCCTGGCATCAAGCAGGATGGCAAGACTGAACAAGGTGCGCCCTTTCAAGAGGTTTCTGCTGGAGAAGAGAATAAGTTGGAAAGATACATATTTTCTGGATGCTTCTGACTTGGGTAGATACTGGCACAGTGTTAGAGACAGGAAGTGATTGTCAGGTGACGGTGAAGAATGGTAAATAGTAAGAGAGATGGGATGAAAAAAGAAAGTCGGTTTACATTTGGTAATCGAGATGGTAGGGAAAAGAAGCTGGGAAGCTTCTTGGATGATGTTCTGTCTTCAGACATACCGTATTTTTCGTCCCATAGGACGCTCCGTCCCATAGGACGCACCTAGTTTTTTTGGGGGGAAATAAAGGGAAAAAATTTCCCCTTTATTTCCCCCCCAAAAGCAGGTCAGGGAAACCGAACCAGGTCAAGGAACAGCAGGATGGCGGCGCTGCGCCTCCCTTCTGTCCCCCAAGCTTGTGGGGCTGGCCGATGTCTCCCCGGCGCCAGGGGCGCTTTGCCCGCCAGGCGGCAGGCTGCTATCCACAGCGTGGGGAGCCCTGCGGGGAACTCCTGCAAGGCTCCCCACGCTGCAGATGTCTGTCCGGCGGGCGGGGCGCTCTGCTTCAGGGTGCCCCGCCCACCGGGGGGCAGGCTGCTATCCGCAGCGTGGGGAGCCCTGCGGGGAACTCCTGCAGGGCTCCCCACGCTGCAGATGTATGCCCGGCGCGAGGGGCGCTATGCTTCAGGGTGCCCCGCCTGCCAGGCGGCAGGCTGCTATCTGCAGCATGGGGAGCCCTGCGGGGAACTCCTGCAGGGCTCCCCATGCTGCGGATGTATGCCCGGCGCAAGGGGCGCTATGCTTCAGGGTGCCCCGCCCGCCAGGCGGCAGGCTGCTATCTGCAGCATGGGGAGCCCTGCGGGGAACTCCTGCAGGGCTCCCCACGCTGCGGATGTATGCCCGGCGCGAGGGGCGCTATGCTTCAGGGTGCCCCGCCCGCCAGGCGGCAGGCTGCTATCTGCAGCATGGGGAGCCCTGCGGGGAACTCCTGCAGGGCTCCCCACGCTGCGGATGTATGCCCGGCGCAAGGGGCGCTATGCTTCAGGGTGCCCCGCCCGCCAGGCGGCAGGCTGCTATCTGCAGCATGGGGAGCCCTGCGGAGAACTCCTGCAGGGCTCCCCACGCTGCGGATGTATGCCTGGCGCGAGGGGCGCTATGCTTCAGGGTGCCCCGCCCGCCAGGCGGCAGGCTGCTATCTGCAGCATGGGGAGCCCTGCGGGGAACTCCCGCAGGGCTGCCTAGGCTGCGGAGGTGTTCCCGAAGCGCCGGGCGCTCTGCTTTCAGGGCGCCCGACGCTCCGGGAAGCAGGCTGCTATCCGCAGCCTAGACATCCCTGCGGGAACTCCTGCAGGGCTGCCTAGGCTGCGGATGTGTTCCCGAAGCGCCGGGCGCTCTGCTTTCAGGGCACCCGGCACTCCGGGAAGCAGGCTACTATCCGCAGCCTAGACATCCCTGCGGGAACTCCTGCAGGGCTGCCTAGGCTGCGGATGTTTTCCTGAAGCCTGGAGAGCGAGAGGGGTCGGTGCGCACCGACCCCACTCGCTATCCAAGCTTCAGCGAAAGCCTGCATTCGCCCCATAGGACGCACCCAGATTTCCCCTTCATTTTTGGAGGGGGAAAGGTGTGTCCTATAGGGTGAAAAATACGATAGATGGTTCTGATCATGCATCCAAGAAAATATGCAGTTCCTAACTGAATTATGGGATTATTGTTTGCTGTGAACTGGCCCTAAGCTGACCTGCCACTTAGTGAGTCGCAACTGAACATCCATTCAGTTGTCTTCAGAGCTGCAAGATATTAGTTGTTTCCAACAATGTGGACTTCTAGCTGATAATGTAGAATTGTGGGCAATTATGAAATGGTTATAAGATTCTGGCAGCAACCTGGAAATTCTGGTGGGCAATCGGTATGAAATCAGACCAAGGCATAGATATCTGCCTTTCATAACTGTATTTTAAGATTTTAAAATCTTTCACTTCTTAGCACGGTAAGATGTTTGATGAATCATAGATAGTGCTTCTGATGTTGTGATAAGTTTCTTTCTCTTACACTGGAGTCAGTATCTGGCATTAGGAACCTGGTTCTAAGAAGGCTCTTTTGGGGAAATTACTGTTTTTTGCAATTTCTTTTCTCTGAGTTAGGTAGAACAATTAAGTAGGGCAATGAATCCTTATAGGAAATGCAGTCTGAGACACCTTCGAAAGTGTTCTGGTGCTTGTCCCGTGCTTGTCCCATTTAAGTGCTTTCTTGGGATTTGAAGAACATTTTATATAGAAAAACCACACACACACACACACACACACAGAGAGAGAGAGAGAGAGAGAGAGTATAAGAAATAGAGACTCAAGGAGATTTAAACTGGGTTTGAGAAGGAGATAAATAGTTCCATATTCTTAAGACACGTTTCAGTTAAAGTGATGTTTCTTACGCCTTATTGTGATATCTATGTTCCTCTTCCCCAGAACATGCAGATGGCTTGTGTCATCGTCTCACCAATGTCTGCCCAACCAGCAAGCCTCAAACACAAGGTCTGGCAAAGGATGCTTGGGAAATCCCCCGGGAGTCACTGCGGTTAGAGGTGAAGCTTGGGCAAGGCTGTTTTGGAGAAGTGTGGATGGGTAAGGATTTCTAGCAGGTACCTGAGCCACAAAATTCGCCTTCTAGTCCGATGGGCATATTTCAGGCCATGTCTTTCAGCAAGGGGAAATTAGGCAAGGCCCCTGGCTGCACAAACTGTAGGAGGCATGTTACCAGCTTAAGTGTTCATTAGTGAAAAAGATGCCTTGTTAATCTACTTATATTTCTACTCCAGGGACCTGGAATGGCACCACCAGGGTGGCAATAAAGACTCTGAAACCTGGGACAATGTCTCCAGAGGCATTTCTGCAGGAGGCACAGGTCATGAAGAAGCTGCGCCATGAGAAGCTGGTGCAGCTCTATGCTGTGGTTTCGGAGGAACCCATTTATATTGTAACAGAATACATGTGTAAAGGTGAGCAATGTATTAAGGGCAGCGTACAGGATGCCTTGTTTCGATGTTCTCTCCCTCAGACTGAAAGGGCAAAATTAAATGGGCTAGAAATCTAATGTTGGGAGCAGAAACATTTTACCCCATCATTCAGAACAGGCAACATATGGAAAATGAGTTTGTCAATTAGGCATCATCTAAGCACCGATTCACATAACCCAGGCACGGCCAAACTTGGCCCTCCAGATGTTTTGGGACTACAACTCCCATCATCCCTAGCCAACAGGACTAGTGGTCATGGATGATGGGAATTGTAGACCTAAAACATCTGGAGGGCCAAGTTTGGCCATGACTGACATAACCAAATGGATGTGTTACAGATGTGGGCTGAATGGATTTACGCAGTTGTTTGTGTGGCTTTATTGTATCTGTGTGGGGTTTATTATATGTTTGTAAGTTGCTTTGGGTTGCTCTAGGCAAGATAAAAGTGACTTTAACAAATTTAATAAATAAGAATAAGCACTGAAGAGGCCTGGTGATTGTTTGGCAAACCACCGACTTACGATTCAGCCCTTGCTTCCCATGTTGCTGCAACATTTGAGGAGTGTAAATTACAGTTCAATCAAGATGTGAGAAAAAACTAATGAAGGGTTTTTGTTAAGGCTTAAATTCTTTCTACACTCTTTAAAAAACAGCTCGTTGGCTCAGTTAAATTGTATTGTTTGCTCTGTGAGATTGAAACAGCTGCAAATTCTGCAGAGGGAAAACATCTGCAAGGGTTTAGGGCTTGCTCCAACTTCAGTTACTGACAATTGTATGTTCTGCTCTAGGGAGCCTCCTGGATTTCTTGAAAGGGGAGATGGGCAAGTACTTGAGGCTGCCCCAACTGGTAGATATGGCGGCTCAGGTGAGTGTAGCATGCTTTAAGAGCCAATCTACATATGCTGTAGGCTTGTAGGATGCTGCTTTTCCAGATCTGTATGACTCCAGGCTGCTGGTGGAGGATTGCCTATTTTGCATGTTTTCCTATAATAGTATCTCCCTGCATACAAATATTTAGCAAGACAACTAGCTGTTGTAAAATCTGTCTCCCTGACATGCTGCTTTTCTGTTGGCGGGGGTGTTACTGGGGAAACATTTTCCAGTGCCCTTTGGTTTCCTTTAAACCAATATAAGATCTCTGACCATGTCTCTCTCCCTTTGTGGCATTCAAGCCTCTTCCCATATCTCATTTTCTGTGTGCGCCAGCTGAGACAGAGTGCTGGTGAACATCTGTTTCAGCCAGTGCCACATTAGCAGCTATGCAGGATAGGCAGCCCACATGATACTGGCTGACAAATACTTCATTTTTCATAGGTTTAGCTTTATTCAGTCCCTCTACCTTCAAGAGAACTGTAGGCTCATTTGACTCCAAGTTCATTGCTTTTGCTGGTTGGTTTGACAACACACACACACACACGGCTTTACTACATTAGTCTATATCTTCATAAGTTACCTGAATCCTGGTAACCCTGGGCTGAATAGAGCTGGCTGATTTGACTAATGCTTTACGGGTAAGCTCTGACAGATCATAATAATCATTCAAGCGAATTCGTAATGTATATTTTTTACTACATTTATATCCCACCTGAACTTCAAGGACCTCAGACTGATGTACATAGTTTTCCTTCTCCCTGTTTTATCCTCAGAACAACCCTGCGAGGAATCTTAGGCTGAGAGACAGTGACTGGCCCAGGGTCACCCAGCGAGCTTCATAGCTGAGTGGGGATTTGAACCCTGGCGTCCCAAGTCCTAGTCCTTAACTCAGAGCTTTCCAAACTTTTCCAGTTGGTGACACACTTTTTGGACATGGATCCTTTCACGACACAGTAATTCAGTTTTGCATCATTTTGTGACTCGGTAATTCAGTTTTACTAGCCAACCGGAGGTTAAACTAACCCTTTCCAGCCCAGGAGGAGTGTGGGGAGCATTACACACCTACACAATGCAGCCGACACACTAATGTGTCACAACACAGTTTAGAAAGCTCTACCTTAACTATTCCACCACACTGATTTTCTTTTGTGTTTGGGATTGTTCCAGATTGCATCTGGCATGGCTTATGTGGAGAGAATGAACTACGTACACAGAGATCTCCGAGCTGCCAACATCCTTGTGGGGGAAAATCTGGTGTGCAAGGTAGCTGACTTTGGACTGGCCCGGCTGATTGAGGACAATGAATACACGGCAAGGCAAGGTATGAGCTGCACTTTCCACTTGGAAGAAATAAGCAGCTGCAAACTAGTTAGTGCTTCAGAGCTGGAAGAAGTCTGGGTAGCAATGCAGAGTAAAAGCCCCGAGGCCCAAAAGCAGGAAGCGTTATCAAGACAATGTGAAAAGGCAGCCTTCATGCCAACATGACAAACTGTTGAGTACATTTCTATGATTCTATGTCCTGGATTCCTGCACTTTTGCTACTGCTGGTGAATGATGCAGAAGTAGTGGAAGACTTGGTTGCCAACATCCTTCATTTCTTCCTTTTGTGTGTGCTGAATAATATATGTTTTGTTTTTTTACAATATGCTTGTCTGTTCTTGTTCAGGTGCTAAATTCCCCATTAAGTGGACTGCCCCAGAAGCTGCTCTCTATGGCCGGTTCACTATCAAGTCAGATGTATGGTCCTTTGGAATACTGCTGACTGAACTGGCCACGAAGGGCCGAGTACCATATCCAGGTAAGTGTGTGTGTTTTTATATACCGTATTTTCCGCTCCATAAGATGCACCCCACCATAAGACACTGTATTTGTCACTCCATAAGACGCACCTGACCATAAGACGCACTTAGCTTCTAGAGGGGGGAATGCAAGAAAAAAAAAATATTCTTTAAAGGGAGCACTGAGCAGAGCCTGTATGCATCCCAGGCTCTGCTCAGCGCTCCCTTTCACGAGCCGCGTGGAGCGTGTGTGCGGCGCTTGCAGGCTTTTCCCCAAGGAGGGAGAAGGGCAGCCTGTCACTGATGCAGCGATCCCTCTCGCTGTTCTGGCTTCTGGGATAGCTGCGCAGCCTGAATTCACTCCATAAGACGCACACATATTTCCCCTTACTTTTTAGGAGGGAAAAGGTGCGTCTTATAGAGCGAAAAATACGGTGGGTCTTTCTGCAGGTGCTCAAAGGGGCCACAAGACCAGCTATAGCAAACTACTCATTCACTTGGAAAGGGACAAGGATCTCCAAAGCAGAAGAATACTATCTCCTACAGTGCTAATATCAGAGATAAAGCCTGCCTGCTCTTTGAGAGTGAAAGTCAGCAATTTACCCACCCACACCTCCAACACTGTGGAAATGTATGTCTGATCTTTGTGGTGTGTTGCTTAGCTCCAAAACTAGAGATAAAAAAATCCCTCTGCCTGTTCTTCACAGAGGATCTTTAAAGAGGAAGCAGAGCATTTTAATGCTGTTTAGATCAGGAGATAAAAGTTGTGAGGTTGCATTCTGTGGTTTGGTAGACTAGATGCAGCCCATGGACTTGTGGGTTCGCCCAACGACCTTGGTTTATCCTATTCTTTGCATTTTTAATATATTTTGGTTGTGTTTTTATTTTTAATTGTTGGACGTCATTGTGAGTAGTGCATGGACGCTAGACAGGTGGGATAGATTTTAATTAATTAATAGCTTTGGAAAAAGAAAGCTAATATATGATTTGTGGAGGATATACACCAACAATAAGACCTTTCACAATTATGGGAGACAAAATCAGCAAGTATCTCATAGAAAATGGATTTCTCCAGAGTTTTAATTCCTCTGTAGACGTCTGCTTTCCTTCTGAAGCCCCATTCATATATTACTGTTGCAAAATGATAGCCTACAGGGGGAAACCACTCCCTTTTATTCATGGTTCAGTTCCACATCAGTAATATTATGGGTGGCTCAAATCCCTGAAGTGGTGTACAGCATGAGAAAAATGACATTAAATACAAGAGAAGTTTGATAAACAATAAAATTGTTTCTACAGACAATAAAAAACATCCGTATGTTACAAACACATTACAGGATTGGGCTATGGGGAAAATCCCTGCATCCCATACCCAGCTAGTGTCTAGCTCTCTGTTTGCTGGCAGGAGAAGAAGGAAGGTAACAGGCTTTGTGTGAGAGATGGGAAGTTTGTGACCCTCCAGGTGTTATTGGGCTCCCATCATCCCTGGACGTTGTCCTTGCTGGCTAGGGCTGATGGGAGCTAAGAGTCCAGTATCTGGAGGGCCACAGACGTCCCCTCTCTGCTTGATGCCAGACTTTAGGAACACTACTAAATCTCTCCACTGTAATTCAAATTGAACTGTACTTGGTAAACAGGAGCATACGTTGTTAGCGACACTTCTGTATGCTTTGGCTAAACTGTTCTACTGAAGAGTCAGATTGCATACTCCTTTTCTGAGAAGTGATAATGTCTGGGATCCAGGAGTGGTATGCATGTATGTACACTTACATGCAAGTAGTACAGTGTTTACTGAAGACCTGTCTGCTTTTGTACCAATAGGTATGGTGAACCGGGAAGTGCTTGATCAAGTAGAGCGAGGCTACCGGATGCCCTGCCCACCAGAATGCCCAGAGTCTCTGCATGATCTGATGTGTCAGTGTTGGAGGAAGGATCCTGAGGAGAGGCCGACCTTTGAGTACCTCCAAGCTTTCTTGGAGGACTATTTCACATCAACAGAGCCTCAATATCAGCCAGGCGAGAACCTATAGATCTGGGAACAGAATTCAGTGCCAAAGACTCTATGCTGCTCCTACTGCATATGTGCTCAAGCGAGAGACTTTGAGCCATACTTGAAACATGTCTGGAGCACCTGCCAGGGTCTCTTCCTCGTTCTGCTGATTTGCCCTTCCTTTTGAGGATGGTACGGGGGGGCCTTTGTTAAACAGATGTGGTGCCCTTGGCTGTTATGGGTTACCTAAGGCCTCAATAGGTCATAAATTAGCAGTGTCATGGTTCTACTTTTTGATATGAAGTTGGCTACGGTGCAGAAAAACAGGGTTTCAGGAAAGCCAAGTTCTTCCAAAAGAGAAGAGGCCAAATGAAAACCAGGGATCCTATTCCTATGGGCCGCCTGCCCTCTGGAGTCTGCCCTCCCTCCAGACCATCCTTCACATCCATCAGCAAGAACATGGCAATGCTGCGTCTGATGGTGATGATGTGGGCTACTTCATGGCTGCATGGCTTCAAAGCACTTGGGTCATCTCTGATTGACTTGGTGGTGATGCTACAGCATTATGCCTTTTCAAATTCATATGGCTTCTGTTCTCCTTTATGTCTGAAACCAGCACAGTTTCCCCTTTCCTTGTCCCATCCAAACCCTACTGCGTGGAGTTGGACTGACTGCTTCACTCCAGGAAAAACTGGCAGCCCACTTATATTTGGAACATGTCACATTTCCATGTACTTATGGTCCTCTTTTTTTAATATGTGTATATATGTACAATCTGCCACTGTTCTCTTCTGGGCCATGAGGATGTGTCACTGTCTGCCCAGTCTTGTCTTGTGTGTGTGTGGTGCACTTGCTCTTAGCCATAGAAGAAACAGGACTCAGGGTGCTGGGTTTGCAGTTCAGTTGTAGGGTTTGGTTCATCTTTGCCTTGGAACAGCGATAGCAAACATGGTGCCCTCCAGATTTTATTGAACTATGATTCCCATCATGCCTGATCATTGACTGTATTGGTTGGGACTGACGGGAGATGTAGCCCAACAATATTAGGAGGGCACCACATTGGTTACTTTGATGTTGAACTGAAGGAACTTCTTGAGGAGGTCATACTCTGCAGTTGATTAGGGATTTTAATTTTGATGCTTGTGGTAGTGTTGGCTTGCGCATTTTTTAGAGCTGTGTTTGTTCTTGGACTGCAGGCTTGTCTTCCAGCCTAGCCTTTCAACCCTAATAAAGTGAAATTATGAACAGAAATGTCTTAGACTGGCAAGAAGGGATATACTCTACCTGGGTCGTAAGTCCCCTGAATGCCAGCTGTTAGCCCAGGGAATAAAAGTCTTCCACATGGCATTTTAAGAATTCATCAAGTACACGGTTCCTTCTCTTTTCCACATCAGTGCATCTTAATCTTAACCATTTCCAAGGCTCCTTGGTCCCTCAGGGGCATAATATTGCTGCTGGGCAAACTTCAGCTGAACAAGTTGCTCTGCAGTGCTGCATCAGCACAGTGGGTGCACTTCTGGTTCAGACAGGGTAAAGAGGCCTTGCATTGCCCTGCCATCTGAGGGCAGCCCCCTTCTCCCATACAGTATGTGAGTAAGTGATGCACATGGGGAAGAAGAAATCCAACAAAGAAAGTAGCAAAGTACATAAAACCCTGCAAAACTTGGCTTTTGTCCTCCCTCCCTAAACCTGCTTCCCAGTGCTATATGATCCGCAGGATGACCCCTTGCTGGAGAGAATTTTAGGTCAGGGGTTTAACCCAGCCCTGTTCTAAAACTACTGATAAGAGCTTGCAATCTCCACATAGGCCCCTTCTACAGAGCAATCCTTTAAGAAATGCAAGTCCCTGTTTATGCTTCTGATTTGGTTATGACCTAAAACTAGTTCCAATTATTCCTAGGGTACAAATCATGCCAAATGTCCTTGTTTTGCCTCTTCTATCTTCCTTCCATCTTTTAAAGCCTTATTGGCTGAAGCAGTGGGGGAAAGTGAGGACAATAGCTGAACCCTGTGAAGTACTAATGAGCAAGCTGAATGTTACATTCCACTGCCTGTATTTTTTCCTCTAGTAAACTAAAGGCAGTCACTAGGCTGTGAGTTTCACCAAAGGAGCATTAGGGGGAAGGGCTGCTTAAACTTGTGCGTTCTGGCTGTCTTTCAGTTAAAATTACCCCTTCCCGAGCTGATTCGGAGTGGAGGGGAGACTGGGAGGAAAATGGTTAAGCTGAAGTGCAGGTAGATACAGATCATGTGGTGTTACTCTGCTAAAAACTCACAGCACAATATACTGCTTTCAGTTCAAAAAAGCAAATTTCAGAGAAGAGAAATATGCAACTACATTCAGTGTATAGTTTGGCCATAAAAGTCCTTAAAAATGGATGTTCAGACTTCTGCTGGATCACACCCTGTGCAGTCTCTTCCTTGATCACTTGTCACTTTCCACATATCCTGCAGAGCTTTCCATACTCATATCCATCCTGCTGCACATCAGGAGCTGTTTTTAACAGCAGCTGGCATTTGAGCAGCTGGTTGCAGTTTACATTTCAGCTTGTGCATATGCAACAGAATTCAACTTGGCAATCTTTGCACTGTCGGAGGGGGGAAGCTTTTAGAATCAACTATCAGTCTGTTTTAAAATCAGCAAGATGACGCGTCTCTGAATGCATGCCAGAATCAGCCCCTTCTTGGGAAAGAGCAAGGAACCGAACAAGATGGAGACTTGGGCACCAGTACCTAGTCCCATCAGCAGCTGGTGCTGCAGCGACCTTACTCCATGACCTTCACTCACACAGAGGAGCAAAATATATAAAGCTGCAGTGGACTTGGCTGGAGCATGCCTGTTACATTAGCGCTTGTTAGGCCAAGGAATCTGCACCCCAAGGGCAGATGGAGTAATTGTGCACATCACGCTAGGGGAGACCTGAGATGCACTCCAGGAGCTGGCATGAGAGTTCAGACTTGGAGCCACGTTGATTTGTTAACTAGGGCAATTCTACACACAACACACTGCATCCCAGACTCACAGCCTCAAAGGGACTGAAAGGGCGATTTTTCCAAAGTGCCTGTTGTGTGGGCTGTGAGTTGAGGCTGATTAATATTTTTAAAAAAAACAAAAAACCAACAAGATTGCTTCAGCATCTTAACTTTTTTTAAACCAACAAGATTGCTGCAGCATCTTGTCAGAAAACTCTCACTAGTGAAAGGTGGGTCTCCTTGTCACTCAAGGTAAGCTTTCAGCTGTCACTCCCTCAACAAAATGCAGTGTGCTTGTCTATCCAACTAAGTCTTACTTGGAGGAGAGCCACTGAAATTAAGGAACATGAAATAAATGAACCTAAGTTAGTCATATTCCTTAATTTCAATGGGTCTGCTGTGAGTAGGACTAGCATTGGCTACAACCCTTATATTTGGGCATTCCATGATTTCTACCAAAACATTAATGGACTAGAGCCAAGTGCCTCTGTGCAAATATATACAGCAACATTTGACCAGGTTTGAACCCAAATAGTTACACTTGCTTCCTTTGACACAAGACAGATAGCTGAATGATTCCATATCTAGCACTTCTACTGGAAATCCCAAATCTATAGAGAACTAGCCGTCCCTCCCCACCTTTAAAGTCCTATTAAAACCAATTAAACTTGTTCAGCCACAAGTATGACTGACACTCTCTGGCTTGAGGCCTATGGTTGCCACTAAGTCTCAAGCCTACAGTCCATGAAACAGCCCTATTCCTACAGAGAACAGCAGCTCTTGGCCCATGTTTGGAGTGGAACTTTGCCATCGTCACACTGCAGAGCGAGAAAGTGTAATGAACGCCAATTCCGCAGTTTTCTCCAATGTGGCCTGCCACCATCCACAAAACCCTTTCTAAGCGATATGCAAATAGATCTGCCTTCTGTTGCAATGGTTACTTCTAATGTACAGAAAACCCTTCTGCAGTGCACCACACTTTTTATTAGGAGAATTTCTTAACAGCTGTAAAATAGCCCCTTCCCCCTTTGTATATAGCTCTTGAGTCCTCTGAGTTGTTGCTCAGTGGCTTTGGATATTGATTTAAGTGCATGTGACTCTTAAAAGTGATAAGAATGTTTGTTGCAATTGTACTTAGCTGGAATTCATTGTTGTCGCCGTGCCATCACTTGGTCATCTTACTTTTTCATGCCTAAAGTTTGGAAGGTCTCCAATGTGCCAAAAAAAACCCCAAAACCTCCAAGGGCAGAGTCCTCCATTTATCCGATTTTCCCTTATTCAGGACCAATTTCTGGCAGGACTGGGTTTCCAAGAACTTAATTGTTTTAGACAAGTAGCTGTCTTGTTGCTTCATTCATTCTCTGTTTTGCCATCTCATTTGAGCAGGATGTTTTTGCTGCTGTTATCAGCTCAGTGTTAGACTGGGAAAGGGGTTTTGGAGGGCGGGGTTTTGCTCAGAAAGGTCCAAAGTGGAGATTTGATACCTCTTATCTCATTCAAAGAGAAAGGTCCACAGTTTTTGAACGGAGGACCTCTGTCCACCTCAAAGGTAATTTGACTCAACCAGAGATTCTTTCTGCCAGAGATAGAGCACAGCTGAGAAGGCACCAAAAATGGTATGAAGTTATGGCAAGATTTTGTGTGCTTCCCCGCCACTCAGTCCTGCACCCTTGCCTGTTGGCAGGAGAAGGGACCTGGAATGGGGCAGAGTTCCCATATTTTGCACAAGCTCCTTTCCCAAAAAGTCCAGATTCAAGTTTTTATGATGCTGAAGACCAGACCTCAGTATCTTTTTGAGGTTACTGAGCCAAATCTCCATCTTATGCCAAGTAAGTGTGTGTACCTCAGAACCGCAAAACGCTCAGTGCATCATAGCAATAGTGTTTAAAATTTAGTCATGGGTTCTCTTAGGTGCCTGTACTTTCAAACAATTGCTTTGTTATATGCCAAAATCCCCACCTCCTGCAGAACTTCTAGTAAAATGCATACTTTTATTGTGTTGGGAACAGGGTCTGCTTTCCTTTTTCCAATGCGTTGTAGGAGATAAAGGGCAGCAACTTACCCCCTGCCTTTCTATATCTCTTCTACACTGCTTATTCATAATATGCCTTATGCGTGCTTTTTTCCATATGTACCCAAAAGACTATATGCTGGGTTTTTTAAAAAAATAATAATCATTTTCTCAGATGTATTGAATTCAAATTCTGCTCCTATGAGGACCACTTCAGCAACATGCCACATCAAATGAGAAAGGAACTAAGCTGGGAATTGAGGTGACTGTGCCTTCCCAAACCTCAAAACATTCGGTTCTCTTTCTATTCCTTTGCCAAGCTGAACATTCCCTTGTACCTCCTTCACATCCAGGACTGAGAATGACTTTGCCCCTTCAGCCTTTTTTTTAGTATTCCAGTATGCCAGTGTATATTGAATTCACATCAGAACTTTCCTTTGTTAAAGCATGGTTATTTGGAACACCAATGTGGGCTGACAATTAGCCCACATGGGAAACAGCCTTTTGTTTTGTATTTTATTTTTTGGTGAAATGCTGCTCCTAGCTCTAGTCTTGTTCGCTTTCTATAATAGTCCATCCTAACTGAGGTGGCAAATCGGCAAATCTGTGCCTGGGTTGTGCCACTTTTGAACTGAGCAAAGGTTCATATGATTGCAAGGTTTTCCCTACAACAAAGAAAAATAATCCATCTACAAAACTCTTTTAAAGTGGGGGGTAGGCTAAATCCCTTCTGATACTTAATTCCCTGTGCAAGGGGGGAGTTGACCGTATGACCCACCTGCAATTTACAAAGTGCAGCCTAGATGCAAGTTTTCTGCCTCTCAGAACTAGACCTAAAAATCCAGTCTCTTAAATCTGTGATCGAGCCATTACCTCCTGGTGTAATATTACTGTATTTAGGGGGTTTTCTTTAGCACCATTCATTTGTGAGCAGGACTTACATTGGGGTATTCAAATTATGTGACCAGGGTTGTTTTTTTGTACAAGCTGGAACAGTTGTTTTACCGGAGTGATGGGGTGTGTGGCATCCTTCACTCCAAGGAGATGCCAGATTTGTTGTTTCTGTTCAAGTATGTCAAGAAACCCTTTTTGCTGAGATGGAAGGAAGGAATAACTTTATTTTTAAATGTCAGCCACCACGGAGAAACAGCTTCTTGACAAATACAAAATGAAACATATACCTAACTGGGAAATGCTTCAGTGTAGGAGCTAAAACCAGTCTCTGTGTGCGTATGTGTACGTGTGTATATATAATATATATAGATATTAATGTATAAAGAATCCTTTTTTCCAAGTATGTACATTTTTTTATATAAAAAAATCAAGACAAGTAGATCAGTTTAAAACCACAGATTTCTCTTCTGCTTTTGGTATAGCAATAATGATTATGAATACTAATTTAAATGAACAGTGTACTTAATCTTACTTTTCTTCTTTGTCACACACAAATTTTTCAAAGAAAAATGAGTCAAGATTCCCTTGTGTGAACTTCCCTGTCTTCCCCTGCCAATCATGCATGGCATAGGCGACTTTGGTACACAGGAAGGATGCTTGTATACTGGAGTCCATCTTCAGATCAGAGCCTGACCTTTGCAATGAACTCATGAACTGAAGGAAGCATTAAGAGAGCTTCTTGTGTTGGCCTTGTTCTTCCTTATTCACGTCTTCGTTTTTTTTAAAAGCCCACAATGTGTGAATCTGTCAGAGGGAGGCTCTGGCACTGGCTGAATGAAGTTTAAACAAGTCCTTACACGGATTTCTTCTGCTAATGTAATTGTGTGTGTGTGTTGGGGGGGGGGGACTGCACACATTTTGTAAAATCTCCAGAAAACTATGCAGAGAATGTAATCAACTTTTTCTCTGTGTCTCTTTCTCCCGCCCCTCCCTTTTTAGTGTCAGACTACTTAACTCTTTTTTTGAAAATAAAATGTTATCAAAAAAATAAAATTGCTAAATGTATGGAGATGAAAGTCCTTTTTTAATTCAGCGGTGTATGTCTTTTTTCCTTTCCATTTTTTGCAGTTTTGTTAAATGCAAGTAAATGGTACACAGGTGTGGGTGAGAGAGGGAGAATCATAGAATTGTGGAGTTAGAAGAGACCTTATGTGTAATCTAATCCAACCCCCTGCTTTTCAAAGAGAGAAATGACCTGCCGTATCAAATGTCATGCAAGTTCATATTGACATCACTGGGATGCCATCTCCCATGACGTTTCCGACCACATACGATTTTGTAAAGCTCGAAAGAGTATCTGTGCTTTTGGCCACCTCAGCTTGCTGCTTCTACATGCTGAGTGACAATGTTTATAAAATATTAACAGTGCAGTTGTATATGTGTATACAGTGGTACCTCGCGTTAAGTACTTAATTCGTTCCGGAGGTCCGTTCTTAACCTGAAACTGTTCTTAACCTGAAGCACCACTTTAGCTAATGGGGCCTCCAGCTGCGGCTGCACCGCCGTGCGATTTCTCTTCTCATCCTGACGCAAAGTTCTTAACCCGAGGTACTATTTCTGGGTTAGCGGAGTCTGTAACCTGAAGCGTCTGTAACCCGAGGTACCACTGTACTTAAAAGTAAGTTTCACTAAGTTCAGTGGGGCTTACTCCTAGGAAAGTAGGTAGAGGAGTGCAGCTCAAACGTAATGGACTTATGTACTGTATTTTTCGCCCTATAGGACGCACTTTTCCCCCTCCAAAAATGAAGGGGAAATCTGGGTGCATCCTATGGGGCGAATGCAGGCTTTCGCTGAAGCTTGGAGAGCGCGAGGGGTTGGTGCGCACCGACCCCTCTCGCTCTCCAGGCTTCAGGAAGACACCCGCAGGGCTGTCTAGACTGCGGATAGCAGCCTGCTTCCCGGAGCGTCGGGCGCACTGAAAGCAGAGCGCCCGGCGCTTCGGGAACACCTCCACAGCCTAGGCAGCCCTGCGGGAGTTCCCCGCAGGGCTCCCCACGCTGCAGATAGCAGCCTGCCGCCCGGGGGGCGGGGTGCCCTGAAGCAGAGCGCCCCTCGCACCGGGCAGACATCGGCCAGCCCCACAAGCTCGGGGGACAGCAGGGAGGCACAGCGCCGCCATCCCGCTGTTCCTCGACCTGGTTCGGTTTCCCTGACCTGCTTTTGGGTGGGAAATAAAGGGGGGGATTTTCCTTTATTTCCCCCCAAAAAAACTAGGTGCGTCCTATGGGACGGAGCGTCCTATGGGATGAAAAATATGGTACTTAGTACACATGCCAAAAACACAAATCATGTTGCTTCAAAAAGGGATAACTAATTGATCTGTACTTACAATGTAGTTCTGCTGTGTGTGTGCACGTGAGTGTGTGTAATATGCATCATAAGCTCAACAACTGATCTCAACCTAAACCACTTTATTGCACTTTAAATCTTGAATCTCTGGGCCTTTTAAGCCTTGCTGAAAAGCTCCTGCTCGCTGAAATGTATAGCTCTCTCCTCTGTCCTGGAAACTGAAATGGCAGTCCTCTGCATGGCCAACACCACCATTGGTAGGGCATCAAAACAATCACTTTGGGTCCCTAAGCAGGAAGGTGCTGCTGCTGAAGTGTGGCCTGGATACTCAATGTTGGGGAAAGCTAGCTGCACATTTATCATCATTGGTGATGGAAGAAGTAACAGGAGGAGAAAAGCCAAAAGGCCCAGGAGAACTGTTGCTACTCGTTGATAAAGGGGGAAAGCTGGTGAGGTTGTGGTGTGCACAGTATAATAGGATGTATTTAGATGAATTCTGTATAAGGTACCAGGAGTCATAGCATTGCTGGTGTTTTAAACACTACCTCCCCCGCCCCCATACAAATTATAAATCATTATGGGGTTAGGCAAATGTAGCACTGCTCACAATGTACCTGTGGTGTGCTTTGGCCTTCACAACTTAATATAAGCATGTACGCACTTCAACCTGGAAGTCAAACACAGGATCATCTGCTGGTATTGCTGCGGGTGGTGGAAGTACAAAAGTGATCTCGCAGATCACCTGCCATGTGCTGAGTGCAAAAAGTATGTCCATAACAAGCGAGGCACTTTCAGATTTTCTGTGCTTGCATGCACAATGTATATATTTCATTAAGAAGCTGCCAAGACAAGCACATCTGCTTCTGTGTAGTGGCCAAGGGGGTACTTGGGGGTTGGCTAGGTTGGCCCCTCCCAAGGGCACAGGCCCAATGTGATGCAAAAATTGCACTTGCCCACTCTGGCTAGGAGCCCATCCATGTGCTCCTCAGGCTGCTCCTCCACTGCTCTGGGCAGCGGGAGGTACACGGGCTTCTCTGGCCACCTTGGCAGAGGAGCGCAAGGACAAGGGGGCGCTGATACAGCTCCTTGCCAAGAGTGCAAGGGAGCGTAGGTATGCCTCTGGTAGTGGGTAGAAAAAGAACAAGCTTGAGGTTTTCCTCCCTGGCCTCTGGAAGTCTCGTTTCGCTTCCTGTTGCCTCCTGTAACTTAAAACTACTACTTTTCATTTGTTCAGGATTATTTCAGTACCAGGTATCAATTGCTGCATTTGCACGATGTCATTGTGAACATACAAAATACATATAACCCGTACATGCCATAGCAAAGCCGGGTGGGCCTGAGTACAGAAACATTTCTCTGTGTAAGAGCAATGGCTTTGCAAAGATTCTTCTTCAGGACACCAACATTTTGTGGCTGGAGCTGGTTTCAATTCTCATCAACGTGTCTCATTTGCTTTGGGGCCAGAGGCTCGCTCTGTCTTATCTTAGCCTACCCAAAGCCCTTTCACATCTGCTTTATATATCAAGGCTGCAAAGTGCAGGCAACCCTGTTAGCCTGCAGGAACAAAATCCATGGGAAGAGAATGACATTGGCTTGGTCGTCTCAATCAGTCAGTGAACTTCAGCCACTGCCAAAGATTTCTGCATATAGGCAAACAATTAGGAGCTTGCTTCTGTGTTATATTATGTTTCTCCGGGCCTCTCAATATGAGTGCCATGCCAGATTTTTAAAAGCTGGATCAGATGTTTTTTCTGGCACTTTCAAGAACCTCCAAGTCATCAAAAATAATAGCCTAAACCAGTGATGGAAAACCTGTGGAGCTCCTAATGGTGCTGGACTACAACTCCCATCACTCCTGACCATTGATCATGTTGGCTGGGGCTGATGGGAGTTGGAGTTCTGACATCTAGAGGGCCACAAGTTTTCAATCCTTATCCAAATCTTTCGGGTGTGATTTGCCTTACCTGGCAAGTTGTGGTTTTAGGGGGCTCTCCTTTGTACTGTGTTCTACAACCCCACAAGGCTGAAACCTGAGTTGAAATTTCCTTGATACTAAGTTTTGACCTGTTCAAACTGCTCTTTCGAGATTATCTGTCTCATTTTAAAATGCAGAGTCTGGATCCCTGCAGTTCTGCTTCTGTATTTGCCTGCTGCCACCTGGTGCCCAGCCACAGTGCAAAAATTTTCCCAAATACATCCCTCATCCTCTAAAGTGTCAACATTTTACTAAGCGTGATAACCAAAGAGGGTCAGTTAGATGTAGGTGTCCAGAATCTTGCCTGTACAGTGGTACCTCGGTTTACAAACTTAATCCGTTCCTGAAGTCCGTTCTTAAACCAAATCCGTTCTTAAACCGAGGTGCACTTTCCTAATGAGGCCTCCTGCCGCCAGTGCCCTTCCACCATTCAGCTTCCGTTCATAAACCGAGGTGTTGTTGTTTAGTCGTGTCTGACTCTTCGTGACCCCATGGACCAGAGCACGCCCGGCACTCCTGTCTTCCACTGCCTCCCGCAGTTTGGTCAGACTCATGTTGTAGCTTCGAGAACACTGTCCAACCATCTCGTCCTCTGTCATCCCCTTCTCCTTGTGCCCTCCCTCTTTCCCAACATAGGGGTCTTTTCCAGGGAGTCTTCTCTTCTCATGAGGTGGCCAAAGTATTGGAGCCTCAGCTTCACGATCTGTCCTTCCAGTGAGCACTCAGGGCTGATTTCCTTAAGAATGGATACATTTGATCTTCTTGCAGTCCATGGGACTGTCAAGAGTCTCCTCCAACACCATAATTCAAAAGCCGAGGTACCACTGTATTATATCTCACATTTATATCTGCATCCTTTCCCTAAAAGAGCAGCATAAATATGGGTTATTTCATCTCATCAGACCAGGCCCACTAGTAGAAGCCCACACAAGAGCTTCCACTAGTGCAATGGGGCTTTCCATCTCTCCTGCCTCTACTCCACCACACCCAAATCAGCTTAGGAGGTCAAGAGAACCCCCATACATTTCCTTTTTCCTTGGGCCCCTAGGAAATTTCCAGCCAACTTCACTAATGCACTGACTTCCACGGGCCTTGAGGCAGCTCTGTCTTGTTTAAATTCATATAGTTATCAAGGCACCAGATGATGTGCCATAGTTCGCTCATGTTGTACTTCATACATAATTCTCTGTACAAAGCCTCACTTCTGAAAAGCCACCAAGCCCCGGAGCCCTCTTACTTGCTCTCTTTGCAACCATTGATTTCCAAACTTCCACCAGCTTGTTTCTTTCCCCCTGTTCCTCTGATCTACCAAGCTGGTAAGTGAGTCATACTCCTTTTTTAAATGTTTAATATTTTGTATTACACACCCTCTTTAAAGCAGCTTACAAAATGAAAGGGAATTTCTCTCTTCAGCAACATCTTCCCTGCAAGTCCCTGACACATGGACTGATTGCTTAATTGGTGCATCCATTTCTACTGGGGAAAAGGTAAAAGAAGATTTCTGCCAGCCATTATTCCTCTGAAATCTAAAAAACACTGAGGCAGCATGAGGCTGGGAAGAAAGTAGGGCACAATGCTGAGCACAGCTGTCTCTTAAAGGAGATGTCATAAGGAAGGTTTTCCTTAACCACCATGAAACTCTCTGCAATTCAGAGGCTTCTTAGGAATTATCAGTTGTTGCTCTTGACAGTAGCAAACTATACTGTGGGAGGGTGGTGGGGAATATATTATAGTTCAGGGATGCG